GCAAACTATTAATTTACTTTTTAAATTTCTTTCCTCCCCAATCCCTATCAATTCTTTCCTCTTCTACGTACACCCAAACCACTACCGGCTCATATATCCCTCCGACATCAAATAAGTCCCTTGATTGTTTGATTGTTTCAGTTTACAAGCAAGCAATAGAGAGGCAGAGTATGATAAGTGCGGATCCGATTGTGTCAGCATTTTATGAAAGCGAAGGAAAGTTTTGTTCTGGTGAATTAAAATTACAAGGATTTGATTGTGGGAATCTCAAGCAAGTGGAGAGAGATGAGACGAGATGGGTCGTTTGCCATCCGAAGCGAATCGAGCTTTGACAGAGGGTTATTGCGTAGGGATTTTTTAATAGATTGATATCAATTCATTCGGGAGCCAATCAATTTTATTGAGATCTTCAATTTTTGCGTTTTATCTCACGAACACTGATGGCTACTCCTCTGGATGAGTGTTTCCCTGCCTTGCCACCGGAACTCCCTTCATCGTCCTTGCCGCGACTTGCAAGAGTAGTCGCTGATGAATTTTAATTGATTATCAAGGTTTGGATATTTGGGTTAAACGTTGAAGGGGCTTTTAGTATTCGATATCCATCAAAGCCGAAGGGCTTTCATTCTTTATATTGGCCGCGAGCACGATGGAGTCGGTGAAAAGTGCCTGAAGGAGGAGAGGGATGGCGGTGGACAGAAACAGGCTTATCGAGTGCTGCAAATACTGGTCCATGGGAAATCGAGCTTTGGTGACGACTGGTTTTTTTAGTTGTACTGATCGATGAACTAGGAAACTTGATTCATTGAGAAGAGGAAAGCCATTGGTGGGGAAGAAAGAAAGTTACTTTGAAAAGTACATTAATAGCTTTTTCATTTATATAAAAAAATAATAAAAAAGAGATATCAGAGGGGTAATATAGTCATTTTCGATCTCACTTAACGGTCAATTAACGGAATTTTTCACAGAAGGGTATACTTGTTACGTTTTGATAGTAGAAGGGCATGTTTGTGCAAAAAAATAGTAAAGGGGCATATTTGTTATCTTGCAATAGTAAAGGGGCATAAAATGCTATTAACCCATTATTTTATTTCCAGCATTTTTCCTCCAACGAACACTGCACCCTTTCTATATACATATGTTTTTTTTACTTTGTTAAGGTATCTGTTGTTCATGAATCTGTTAGAATTCCATTCCATCAGCTTTTTTAGTTCTACTACATTATTGGCCTGAAATGATTGAACAACTATGGACACCACATTTTCGCATATATTTGTACTTCAGCTTAGCTGAAGCCGACGTCATTATGAAATTCATTCGACATAGCTACCTCATTCAGATTTATAAAACCTCTCCTCTCCGATCACTTCTAAATAGTATAGCTCATTATCCAATCAAAATCATCAATTACTTTATGCTTACCACACGTTAAGCTATGTGATGTATTTATCATAATGTATAGCGACAAGGAGAAACATGACAATAGTTGCAGTGTCTTTTTGTGTGTGAGTTATTGAATTAGTATTGGATGGTAATCTGGAGTGGAGGTAGAATGTCTCAATCACTAAAACTTTGTTTTGATATAATTCATGAAATATTAAGGGTAGTGAAATACTAGAGTTGTATAGTTTGGCACTGTAGGACTACAACTACACATTGATTTAATGCTCATGAGATGCAATTATCTAACTCTTTCGTTTATCTAATCCATGTTTATTTTGTGGATGCTTAATTATCGAACATGTACGCATTCTCTTGAAGGAGTGTACGCATTCTCTTGGACCTCCTTCAAGTAAATGTTAATGTTATGTTATTGTTATGCCAACAATGAAAAAATGAATCCCGAAAAAATAACTATGTCACTGCAAAAGCCTCACTTTGTTGTAAATAAAGAAAAATCAAACTTTCTGTCTCTTGACATCCCCATCAATTCCTTAAGGTTATATTAGTGTGAAATAACAAAGTTGCAAATCATTGTAGAGAGTGTATTAAGATCTGTAATGGTATCTTCATATTTAGTCCTATGGGTAATGAGATCCATTAGAGTTTGACTCATGAATGCGGGCTATACGTACTTTTAATTGGGGAAAAATATTACCATCATTCGGATAGTCGACTACATTGAAAGATTCAAGCTCTAAGTTTGTTGAGTTATACATTTATCAAAAGATAAATAAGTTGAAAGTTAACTTCGTCCGATAAAGACCATGTATAACTTATGAAGTTGAACTTTTTTGGTCAATCTACAATCAGATGGTAAAAAAATTGACTTTAGTAAAGTCAGCATGTATTGACACGTCATAGTCAATTAACAGTTGAACGGACGAAAAGTTGACGGTTTGACTATTAAATTATTTTCGAAAAAGTTTGACTATTATGTTATATTTACCAAAAAAGAACGAATGGAAGTTTTGGGGGTAAATACCACGTTTGGTCATTGGGTTTACTAAAATGTGTCATGTTAGTCATTGGAAAAAATTAATATCAATGTTGGTCACTCGAATTAGTAAAATGGTTCACGTTTAGTCACTTTCCGTTAGTCTACGTTAACACCGTCATTCAATTGCTTAAGTAGCTAACAGAAGTGTCGACTCAACCTTCTTTAACCCATCACATCACTAAACCCGACCCGCCACATCACTCAACCCGCCATATCATCTTTCCCAACCCAATTCTTAAACCCAATCAACCTATGAACCGACCACTCTATCCCTCTCTTCTCTCTTTGCTTATCCCTCTCTCCAGCTCCGACCGCCATTCAGCTAGGATCTCCAAGATTCGGCACCCGACCCGACTGTCCCACACCCTCAGCATGTTCCCCGCCATGTTCGTCTCTGCCGACACTATCATTGCCGACGACATCGCCGACGCCGAAACTACCGCCTTAATGAAGAGCATCTCGCTCTCTCCCCTGAAAATTGATCGCAGATTCGGCTCCCCATCCAGCCCTAGCCCCAAGTTATCCCAGAGCTTGACTACCCTGCTCGTTGTCCCGTTCTGGAACTCCGACCACGAGAAGAAACCCCCAATGCTGCTGCTCAGCCGCCAGAGTCGCTGACCGAATTTCAACGACCCACTCACTCTAAAGTCTTCGTCGCCCTTAGAATCTACCTCTTCCTCTTCAAAATTCCTCATCACTTTCCTCGTCGTACAAGAACTCGGATTCGGACCCAGATTCAGTTTTGGTGTCGTAATCAGACTCTTTCTGCATAAGCATAAACCGTTGTCGTTATATGGGATGACTCTGTTGGAACTGAATGAGGAAGATTCTGATTCAGCTGACGATGGTAGTGAAGGAGGCGAATAACAAGGCAACCACTAGGGAGCCTCATTTCCAAACACTATAGGCCTGATAAATTCTCTCGATGCTGGAAGCAGCATAAGCTCGAGCAACTACAGATGGGTTTATCCCACCGCCTTTGAAGTCGCTTATTCAATTAATCACCGGAACCTCCATTTTTGTCCCCGTTGGCGGAAGTTGAGGAGGGATTTTGATGTAGGACAGTCGAGTCGGGTGTCGAATCCCGTAGGTCCTAGCGGAATGGTGGCCGAAGCTGGAGAGAGGGACATGCGAAGAGGGAAGAGAGGGATAGAGAAGAGAGAGACAGACGAAGAGGAGGGTGGGAGAGAGAGAGAGAGATAGAGGGGTCGGTTTATAGGTTGGTTGAGTTTAAGGATTGGGTTGAGAAGATGGTGTGGCGAGTTAAAAAAGGGCGAGTCAACACTTCTGTTAGCCATTTTAGCAATTGACTGACGTTGTTAACGGAGACTAATGGAGAATGACAAACTTTGACGATTATTTATATTAATTTTTTAAATATGACATATTTTAGTAACCCTAGCGGCCAAACATGACATATTCCCAAGTTTTGGAGACGAATCCCACCGGCACTCAAGCTAAACAAGCTGAATCACTATTCATCTCCTTAAATTGACGCATATACCCCTAATTTCATTGTAAATATTGTTTATCATTGCAATTATAATTAAATAAATTATGGAATTTATTTAGTAAACTAATATGTGATTACCTAAATTACTATAAATATTATTGTGAATGAGTAGGGAAAAAACGAATGAGTAATTACATTAGAGTAAATTTAACATAATTAGGATGGAGTAATAATAATAAACAAATATAATTAGGGCGGTTAATAAAGATTTTTAAGGCGAATAGGAATAGCAATCACACACTAAACAAGTACACAAGCCTCAATGAATTATCAAATAACCGACAGTATTGAATACTAGAAGATAGCAAGTAAAGAAAAGGTGGCCGCTGACGATTAGGGTTTGATGAGTTGAACGCCTCTCCGAGTACGATGCCGGCGGAAAATTCCAGACCATCAGGACCATCAGGATGGCCGCCGGACAACTGCCAACCAGCTAAAGAGACGATCCCATCAGCCTTAACAGGGGGGACTCCTCCTCCGACGACCCTGGGAGATTTGCACGCTGAGATGCAGCTCAACCCACTGGCGGCGCCGACGAATCCGATGACATTGCCGACGGGAGACATGAATGTTGCTCACGATCGCTCAATTAACAGCGACCAGGCTATACCCTCGCCCTCAAAGCAGATTGTTTCCTACGCCGGAGTTGTGACAGGGGAAGGGAACCTCTCGAAAGCGCCGATGTCACAATGGATCCCCGTTGGCGAGCATGATCTCATTCCAGGATCTTTCCAGGGGGAACCTGAGCTGCGGATATCAGACAATTTCAAGACAAAGCTTAGTGCCCCCTGGCAACGAACCTTGGTCATGCAGTTGCTAAGTGGAAGTATCGGATACACAACACCCTGTAATAGAATCAGGGCCCTCTGCCGGCCGTCCGGTAGCATGGAGGTTCTTGCGTTAGATGAGGAATGCTTCCTGGTGAGGCTTGGGAATGATCAAGATTACTTTAAAGCATTGACGGAAGGACCCTGAGTTATTTTTTATCATTATCTCCTGGTCAGCCAATGGACGCCGGGATTCAGGATCACTGATAGCCTACCAAACAAGATGGTAGTCTGGATTCAGCTACCGGGGCTACCAATTCATTTGTACCACAAGGAGATACTGTTCACACTTGGCAATCTGATTGGTCGAGCTATCAAGCTTGATTTCCACACTCTACACCAACAGAGAGCTAAGTTTGCTAGAATAGCAGTGGAAGTAGACCTTTCCAAACCTTTGATCCCAAGAATTCGACTCGACGGGCAGTGGCAAAAGGTAGAATACGAAAACTTGCCGGTCGTTTGTTTCGAATGTGGCAAAGTTGGCCATACAAGACTCTACTGCCCCTTGGTGGCTCGGATAGAGGCAAATAATAACTCAGCGGGAGAACGATCGTCGCCGGCGACTCTCTCCACAGAAGCTCTGATGGACGATACCGCAGGCTTTGGGCCGTGGATGCTGGTCACGAGGAAATCCCGGCGGAATCTAAGGGAGAACCCCAATTACGACAAGTCGGAGCAAGGAAGGCAAGGCAACCATGGCTCAAAAAGGAAAGAGGAAAAGATGGAAGGAAATTACCTCAAGAATCAAGGAAATACCTCAAGTGCTCCTAGCAATCAGCAACGGCAAGCAGAGGAACGGTCTCTAGCGGGAGATAAGGCGAGTACAGGGGCAAGGAAAGTTGGGAAGAGTGACAACAAAGGGAAAGAAAAAGTTGGAGAGCCAACCCAGGCTATTGGGAAGGGCATCTTGGGCCCGCGGCCGCACTCCGCTACTGTGGAGCTGGCTACTAAGCCTGCTAAGACGGATTTTTCGAAGGAAGTAGAGCCCTCCACCACTTACAAAAGCACTGGGCCTGGTAGTCACGAAGTCACAGGAGCCGAGTATGGATCGCGGCCCACTAGCATCCCCACCCAGTCAATCATAGGGCCCCAAGGAACACATATACAGATAGTGCAAGCCTAACCTTATGACCTTCCTCCGCCGCGCTCAGTGGACTTGGCGACTCCGTCGACCGGTGCTCGCACAAAGAAGAAGAAAGGACAGAAGGGTGAACGACAGATGAACTCGAAGAAAGGAACCCCACTTCGCCACAACCCGTTGAAACCTCTTCAAATATGGTCATCGATCAAAGAAAAGAAGGGCAAGAGCAGGGAACGTCGTGTCTCCCTAACACTCCAGCAGATTAAGGAGTGGACGGAATTGGCAAAGACGGCGCCAACGGACAGTTTGGAACTGGATTCCACCCTCTCACTGGCGGTTAGGGGCAATGAGACACCTGGCGATGCGGAAGCAACCCAAAGCCTTGTCTAATTTCGCTTTGGCTAAGCCTTTCTTCTCTCTTCCTCGTTTATTTTGTTTTTAAATGTCTGTCCCTTTCAATTTTTGCTTCAAAATCTTCTCGTGGAACGTTGGAGGGGCTGGTAGCGCAGCTTTCACTCGATCTCTCAAGCTTGCGCTTCAGCTCCATAGACCTAACATTGTTATTTTGGTGGAACCCCAGGTCAGCGGTGAGGTTGCAAATCGGATTTGCGGGAAGTTCGGCTTTCCTGATGTTTTTCGGGTTGAGGCTGCTGGTCGGAGTGGTGGTATCTGGATTTTTTGGAATGCCCAAAGATATTCAGCTCAAATTGCTTCTGCTGGGCCTCAACACATCACCCTCGACATTGCTATGGCTAATACTCCTATTTGGAAGCTGACGACTGTCTACGCCTCTCCCCGACAACAGCTGCAACGGCTTCTTTGGAGCAACATTTTGGCACACAGAAGACATCTCGTATCCTTAGGAGCTGTAGGCAGTTCGGGGAATGGATCAACGAAGCTGAATTGATCGATCTTGGGTTCTCTGGAGCTAAGTTCACTTGGTCTAGGGGGAACCAGCCTCAAAACTTCAAAGCTAGCCGCCTAGACAGAAGCCTATGCAACCAGGAGTTTAATGAGAAGTTCCCTTGCACCTCGGTGGTTCATCTCGCCCGGCTGAGCTCCGACCACAGCCCAATCCTCACGACTGTGATGAATCAGGGAGTCTCTAACCCTTCCCCTAAGCGGTTTAAATTTGAGGTAGCTTGGCTGACGCATGCTAATTTCCAACAGTTTATAACCGAGAAATGGAATGGGCATATACTGATTTTACCTCTGCATTGCAGGACCTTTCGAAGCAGCTCAAATCTTGGAATTTAGAAGTTTTTGGTAGCACGTTTCAGAGGAAGAAGAGGTTGGTTGCTCGGCTAGCAGGGATCGAGAAGAGGCTGGCTGTATTCTTTTCTCCGGCGCTTGCCAAACTTCACTCGAAACTCGAAGTAGAGCTTGAGAAGACGATGGAGCAAGAAGAGCTCTATTGGTTTCAACGATCCCGTGAGAAGTGGGTTAAGTTTGGAGAAAGGAATACTGCCTACTTTCATCAGATGGCTAACATCAGATGGAGAGCTAACAAAATTGATTGCTTGCGTGGGGTGGATGGTGATTGGGTGAGCGATAAACAGGAGCTGGCAACCCTTATTTTCAACTATTACTCTAACCTGTACCTGCAGGATGGGGAGCTGTATGAAGACCTGATGCCCAATGGGTCTTTCCCTCGTTTGAATCAGGAAGAGTGGCTCTGCTTGCTTCACCCTTTCTCGATCATGGACATTCACAAAGCAGTCTTTGATATGAACCCTCTGCAGGCCCCCGGGCCAGACGGGTTTCAAGCCGCCTTCTATCAATAGGCGTGGCAAGTGGTTGGCAAGGCTTTAACGGAGATGGCCCTAGCTTTCTTTGAGGGCGGCTCTCTTCCGGAGGCGGTGTCTGAGTCAACTGTGGTACTTATTCCTAAAGTTGAGAAGCCGGAGTTTGTCACTCAACTAAGGCCTATCTCCTTAAATAATGTGAGCTTGAAGGTGATCACCAAAGCTATGATGAGCAGATTGAAAGCAGTCATGAAGAAATTGGTTTCCCCTCGTCAAAGCAGCTTTATCCCTGGGCGCCAAACTGCAGATAACATCCTGGTAGTGCAAGAAGCTATTCATTCCCTTGGAAAGAAGCGAGGCCGGAAAGGTGGTCTTGTGCTGAAGATTGATTTGGAGAAGGCTTACAATAGGCTTCGCTGGGACTTTCTTCGGGATACCTTAGTGGAGGTGGGATTGCTGAGCTCGTGGATTCGATGCATCATGTACTGTGTCGAGCAAAATCAGATGCGCATTCTCTGGAATGGAGAGCTTCTGCAATCCATCCCCCCCACCCGGAGGGTGCGACAGGGAGACCCTCTTTTGCCCTATCTTTTTGTTTTATGCATGGAGCGTCTCTCTCATAGGATTGATCGGGCTGTTCGCGATAAGCTATGGAAACCCATAAGCATTTCGCAGAATGCCCCAGCTCTCACTCATCTCTTTTTCGCCGATGATCCGGTTCTTTTTGCAGAGGCTTCAGGATCTCAAATCAGGGCGATTAGAACCTGCTTGGATGAGTTTTGTGACAGCTCGGGATAACGTGTCAATTATGCTAAGTCTATCATGTATGTGTTCCCGAATATCGACACGGCTAGGGCGCAAAGACTGAGTGACAAGGCAGCCATCCCTCTAGCTAGGGAGCTTGGGAAATATTTAGGCATTCGCACCATTCATGGGAGAGTGACCAAGAGCCGGTATCAAGACTTGGTTCTGAAGATTCAGAAAAAGCTGGCACCCTGGAAGGCGAAACGTTTATCCTTAGTTGCGAGACTCACGGTGACTCGTTCTATATCCCTTTCCATTCCCACTTATACTATGCAAACCGAGTTGATTCCTATGAATGTTTGTAATTCAATTGACAGGATCAACAGGGATTTCGTTTGGGGTAAGGATGGCAATCAAGGGAAGCTTCATCTGGTGGCATGGGATAAGCTTGCAGAGCCAAAAGATCAGGGTGGAGGGGGACTTAGATCCCTTCGCCAAGCAAACCTCTCTGTGCTGGCCAAAGGGGGATGGAGGTTGCTGCAAAAGAAGGATACTCTATGGACCCAGATTATGCGCGCAAAGTATGGCAGGCAGATGGAAGGACTTGACTTGCTCCGCCCAGTTCAGGGAAGTTCCTTTGCTTGGAAGAGCCTCTATAAGGCTTCTGACCTTCTTAGGAAGGGCTGTGCGTGTAATATTCAAAATGGGAGGCGGACTAAATTTTGGATTGATAATTGGATTTTGCAGGGCCCTCTGTTGGAGGTGGCGCTTCAGCCAATTGTGGACGGGATGCGTCGGGAGACGATCGCTGATTACCTTGACCCGAACGGAGACTGGGATGTCAACCGACTTTCTCCTTGGCTTTCAACCGACGTCATGCAGAAGATTACAGCTGTGAAGGTGGATGTGTTGACCCCCGATGATGACACCATCTTCTGGACCGCGACTGCCAATGGTCATTTTTTCACTAAATCGGCCTACCAACTCCTGCAGTCTAGACCGACAGATCAGGACGAGGGGCTATGGAAGAAGATTTGGAAGCTTGTTGTTCCGGAGCGGGTTACCTGTTTTGCTTGGCTTGCTGCGCGAGGAAGGATCGCCACTAATTGCCTTCGGTTCTCTAGAAAGTGTGCGAACTCCCCGGCATGTATCCAATGCCAGGATTGTCCTGAGACTATCAGCCACATCTTGCGAGATTGCCCCCCAGCCAGATACTGTTGGTCGAGATGGGTTCCCTATGACCATCAACACACTTTCTTCTCCAGCGAGGGCGAGATATAGCTCCACAGCAACCTTCAGAAAGAAGACCCCAGGGGAGATGGTATGCCTTGGAATGTTTTCTTTAGTATTGCTATCTGGCTAATTTGGAAGAGTAGGTGTACCTTTTGCCTTGAAGGGGCTCACAAGGCCTTCACCGCCCCCTCCCTAGCTCACTCCATCGAGCACAAAGCCAATCTGTGGCATAAGGCGTGGCTTGCTCCGTCGCTCCTGCAAGGCAGAAGAGGACATGAAGCTAGGCGAGAGATGGTTCAAATCAGGTGGCATCCCCCTCCCCGTGGGTGGATGAAGTTAAACATTGATGGAGCTTCAACAGGCAACCCGGGACTTGCGGGCTCGGGTGGTGTCATCCGAGATGAGCAGGGACAATGGATTGCGGGTTTTGTGGCAAAAATCGGTCACGCTTCGGCTGGTCTGGCTGAGGTTTGGGCTTTCTTTCATGGGTTAACTCTTGCGTGGAAGTATGGATGTACGAGTTTGGTGATTGAGTCTGATTCTCAACTAGCCATCCAGCTGGTTGAAAGCCGTAGGGATCCTATTCACCCTTATGCTTCTCTTTTGAGCTCGATTCGGAGGCTTTTGGCTCGGGATTGGCTGGTTAGGATAGTCCATACTTACCGAGAAGGGAATAGAGTCGCGGACTGGCTCTCGAAGCACAGTCTCGTCTATCCCCTCGGTATGCATGAACTCCCTAGCTTGCCTCCTGCTCTTTGTCAGATTCTTGAGGAGGATAGGAGGGGGGGGGGGGGGGAACGGATCAGGTCAGTAACCTTATGGTGAGTAACTATGAGTAACCCGCCCACATCAGCATGACATCAGCATCCTCTCTCTCCTAGAAAGTCTTTAATTTTCCCCTCCTTAATCTTTGACGGACGATTTCTCACTCGTTTTAAGTTGAAATTTAATTTTTTTTTGCACAGTTAGATAAGATTAATTGTGCTCTTCAAAATGATATCCACTTTGATATATTTTTCGAACAAAAAAAATTGAGCCATTTTTTACCAGTCTAATGTCTATACCATATGGTATTGACTGGTATTGAAATAAGAGCATACCTATGGTTTGAAAAGCGTACCATGGTGGTATGACACAAACTAAAACTGTAGGATGGTTGAATACATGATAGTAGAAGTATATTAATTGTCATTTACGACTTTTAGCATTGTATACCATAAGATACCACCCCATACCAGGGTGGTATTGTATGGTATTGTGTGGTATTTTTTGGTCTTGTAATTTGTTCACCCAGAAATTTGTAGATCCAATAGATCATGATGAACTCGTCCCTGCTGTGCAAACGTTTTCAAAAACGAATTAAAAACGAAGAAGATACAATATGGTATGCAGTTGGCACCGAGAGGCCAGAATTTTTTTTCTTTAAAAAATATTGAAAATTGATCTCATTTTGTAGAGCACGATGAACTCGTTCCATCTGTGCAAAAAAAAATTAAAATCCGAGTTAAAACGAAAAAGATATGAGTCAATTAAGAAAGCTAGTGAAAATAAAAATAACCTTTAATTCTCCATCCTTAGATCTATATTTTCTAAATGAAAGATCCAAATTTGATTATTGATGAGTGCATAACCCGTTATGCACCCTAACTTGAGCAGGAGGGGTGGCCTTTGAGCGCCAGATTATAGTTCCCCCATGATGTAACTTTTTCTTTTCTCCACCTGTTCATAGGGATGGCAAATCAGACCGCGCGGGCGGGTACCCGCCCGAAAACCGGCTGGGCGGACCAGTTTTTACCCGGGGTTGACGGGGATTTAACGGATTCGGGGAAACCCGTTATCCGTGGATAACGGACATCGGGCGGTGACGGAGTCCAGGCTATCCGCCCCGAGCCCGCCCCGAGCCATAAAAACGACGTCGTATTTTGAGCATATATATATATATATCCATCAGTCGACCAGAGAAACCCTAATCCCTAATTGTCGCCGCTCTCTCAGTCTCTCAATCTCTCTTCTCCTCTCAGTTCTCTGCTCTCAATCGCCGCTCAAATCCATCGATTCGATTCCCCCCCGCGAAATTCTCTCCACCCAGGCTGTCAATCATTCATTATCCACCAATCAAAGCCTAATATACTCATCGATTTAGGCAAAGAACAACATGCAAAAGGAGAAGAATCAGAAGATGACTGTTCCAATCTCCGATTCGAGGTTATTGGGAGGATTTCTCGTCGATTATTGTTCCGATAATCCAGAACTCGAGATAAGTACCTTCCAATTCAATTCTTCTTTCTTGTTTCAGTTTCTTGCTTTAGTTTTAGGTTCGTTTAAATTAACTCGAGTCGATTGGTTCTTTCTAGGGCTCTTCTGTTTCATTTTCATCTGCACCTGGGACTGCATGCATGCTCTGATACTCGAGGTAATCCCTATTCCCTAATCAAATTTCCTTAGTCAGTTACTCAGTTAGTGTTTAGTAATTAGTAGTTTGTTGTATTGACTTTAACTCATTGGATTTTTATGTTTGTACTTTTGTTTGAGGTTTTGCAGTTTTGTATCAGGCATCAGTTCACCATCCACAACTCTGGACAATAGACCCCCTCTGTCCAGATTCGAGGTTAGTTTAAAAATTAAGGACATTTTACTTAATTTGGTTTGCATGTATTAGGAATTAGGGACTCGAGTTTTTGTTGATTGCTTGAGTGTTGGGTATAAGTATAAGTATCTCATCTGCATGTTACAATTGAATCTAAAAGACTATAAATTTGAACCTAGAAATCTTATAGCTAAAGTCTAAAAAGTAACCAAGCAATCCTTTGATGTTATACTCGTTTATCTCAATGTCAGATGGAAGGTGCACCTGAAAATGTTGTTAATGCTCCTGTTCCTCCACAACCTGCCCCTGTTGATCAAAACAACCAACCTGAACAAGTTGGTAATGGTAACGGTAACTTGGCTAATGATAATTCTGAAGTGCTTGTTGAAGAATGCAAATTGACTTCTGATGTATGGCCTCATTACATTAGGGTTAAGGTTAATGGGGTTATTAAAGCTAAGTGCAAGTACTGTCGAAAAAACCTTGGTGGTGATACTCGTAATGGAACCTCGCACCTTAGGACTCATGTGAAAACCTGTATCCAAAAAAGGATACATGATGGTGCTCAAAAAATTCTTTGCCCTAATTACAAAGCAACTGGAAAACCCCAATTATCTGCTACACAGTTCAACTCTGATGTGTCTAGGAAGGAGCTGAGCTCAATGATTTTGGTCCATGAGTACCCTCTTAGCATTGTTGAACACTTGGGTTTCAAGCGTTTCTGTTGTTCTTTGCAACCACAGTTTACTGTGCCTTGTAGAAATACTGTGAAGAAAGATATATTGTCTTTGTATGGGGTTGAAAGGAGTAACTACCAAAAGGTTATTGATGGTAATTTGGGTAGAATTGCTGTGACCATTGATTTATGGACTGCCCCAAACCAGAAGAGGGGTTATATGGCAGTCACAGCTCACTTTATTGATAATACTTGGAAGCTAAGAAACTCAATGCTAAAGTTTTTGTATGTCCCTGCCCCTCATACGAGTGAGAGGCTTGCAAGAAAACTGTTTCAATGTCTTCTGAATTGGAACATTGGTGGAAAGTTGTCTGCAATCACCTTGGACAACTGCTCCACTAATGATTCCATGATTGCTCACCTTAAGAATAAGCTTGTTTTGAATAACTTGTTGATGGATGGTAGACTGCTTCATATGAGGTGTTCTGCTCATATACTGAACCTTATTGTGAAAGATGGTTTGGATGTGATAAAGGATGGAATCCATTTGATTAGGGAGAGTGTGGTGTATTGGACATCCACACCTAAGAGGGTCCAGACTTTCAATGAAGCTGTTAAACAGCTTAAGTTGGCTGGGAAAAAACTTGTGCTTGATTGTCCAACAAGGTGGAATTCTACCTATGATATGCTCTCTATTGCTCTTCTGTACAAAGATGTCTTTTTTCGTTTAAGACAGATGGATAGTCAATACCTATCAGCTCCTACTAATGAGCACTGGGATTTTGCTGCTATTGTGATTGATAAACTGCTCATTTTCAGTGAGATGACTGCATTATTTTCTGGTACCAAGTACCCCACTGCCAATTTGTTTTTCTCTAAGGTCTGTGATCTGCGATTGAAATTGAGTGACTGGTGTGCTGATCTTAATCCTGTTATTTCTGCCATGGCTGGAAATATGTGGTTGAAATTCACAAAGTATTGGGATGATATACATCTTGTTCTGGCAGTTTCAGTGGTTCTGGATCCTAGGTACAAAATGCATGTCATTGAGTATTATGCTGCTAAGTTTGGCAGCTCTGATACTTACTTGGTGGCTAAGGATCTAAAACAGTTGATTTGTGGTTTGATTAATGATTATCAAACCAAGGCTGAAAAGAAATCTGGTTCTTCTGCCAATGAACCGATTGGAAATGCAAATGTCTCTGTTTCAGCAACTGATCTTGATTTCGAGTTGTTTGTTAGTCAGAGGAAAAAGAGCAAAACAACTCTGATTACTACTGAGTTGGACCATTATCTTGCTGAGGAACCTATTCCTCGTGATCCATCTGCTGAATTTGATCTCTTGATGTGGTGGAAGTTGAATGGCCTTAAGTATCCTACTTTGCAAGCAATTGCAAGGGACTTTTTGGCTATACCAATAACATCAGTTGCTTCCGAGAGTGCTTTCAGCTCTGGTGGGAGGTTGTTAGACCCCCACAGGAGCAGGCTCGATTATTCTACTGTGGAGGCCATGTTGTGCAGTCGTAGCTGGGTTAGGGAAGCCTGGCTAAGAGGTAACCTGCAATACCTTCGACTCGAGTGAGTTTTGGTTCATTTAAACAAGTGACTGAGTTAGTTTGTTCTATTTCTGCAGAATCAGAGGCTGCTGCTGCTGTGGAGGCAATGGATGGACTGTTTACTGGGCTGTCAGTTCACGATTCAAGTGTAGAAGATCAGGAAAATGGGGGTAAGTTAGTTGGTTTTTAGTTTTTAGTTGGTAAGTTATGGTTTATGAACTGCATAAGTGAACAATTTTTTTTTTTTTATATTGATTGCAGTCCAGGAACTTCTGAATCTGGATTCACCATTCTCCTTTGATGACTGATTATTGGAACCTCAGAAGAGAAGGTATATAATACATTCAAATTGACTTTTCTCCTTTATTGTAAGCTTGTATCTGTTCCTTCATATTTTTGTTTTCTTGCAGGGGATGAATGTCAATTTGTCATGACTCATGTGCTGCTTGACTGCTTCTGTTCTTCAAATCTGGTTGCTGCCTTGCTGGTGCCTTTGAGAGTTTGGCTTACTGCCTTTGAGACTTGAGAGTTTGAGTTTGAGTGTGTTTTATTTGTTCCAAATTTGAACAATGGATTGGTGTGTGGCTTACTGCCTTTGAGAGTTTGAGTTTGAGAGTGCTTTACTTGTTTTCTTTTTTGCTACTTTTAGACAGTTGATGAACTCATGAACAATTGAGGAACTCTTGAAAATTCAGAGTTATGGGTGGTGGGTGGGTTGCAGCCTTATAGGCTTTATGTTAAGCTACTTTTGAGTTTTGAGCACTGCTCAACTTTGAATTTGAATTGAATTATGTTTTTCCAGTTATTTACTTATTTTATTGTTTCAATATGTCAATTTTTTTAGGGTTTGTAGCGGGTAACGGGGACCCGTGGATTCCCCGTATCCGTGGATTAACGGTGACGGTATCAAATTTGGCCCCGTTGAATGGCCGGGGACGGGGAAACCCGATACTGTTCACGGACGGGGAACGGATGGTATGAATCCGTCCCCGATCCGCCCCGTTGCCAACCCTACCTGTTCACCTTCTTGGCCTCGGCCTCGGCCTCCATTAGTGCAAAAAAAAAAAAAAGTACACAAGCCTCAATAAATAAATAAAAAAACAAGTACACAAGCTCAGTATGCAGTAAAGTCAATTACGAACTAGGGTTAATTACATAAATCCCACCAAACTGCGTTCTCATTCTTCTGTTGCTCGCGAATCGCCTTGCCTCCAGATTCCGTCGGCGCTGAGTTCTCTGGATAGCATGCTTCTGTTCGGTTAAGTTTTCGGTGAACTTGCTTAGTTTAGGGTTTCAATTAAATGGAGGGCTGCCGTGCTACAGCTAGTTCTCTGGCCATTAAGCCGATAAACAAAGGCGTAGTTCATAGGATCTGCGCGGGGCAAGTAATTTTGGACCTTTCGTCTGCTGTGAAGGAACTAGTAGAGAATAGCTTGGACGCCGGCGCTACTAGCATCGAGATCTGTCTCAAAGAATACGGCGAAGAGCGGTTTCAGGTCATCGACAACGGATGCGGTATCTCTCCGGACAACTACAAGGTACGCCCTTTTTGTTAGTTGTGTATGTATGAGCAGGTTAGCCGATGCCTTTGCTGTTATGTTTTTAGCTCCTTGATATTATTCAACTTTCCCCTGCTGGTTCAGGTTATCGCACTTAAGCATCACACTTCAAAGATGACCAATTTCACGGATCTTCAATCTCTGACAACATATGGTTTCAGAGGGGAGGCGATCAGCTCTCTGTGCGCGTTAGCAGATGTTACCATTGAGACCCGAACCAAGAATGAGACTATAGCAGCTCATCTTAGTTTCGATCATTCCGGTGTACTGATTGGTGAAAGGAAAACAGCGAGGCAGGTTGGGACCACCGTGACGGTTACGAAGCTGTTTTCCAATTTACCAGTGAGAAGCAAGGAATTCAAGCGAAACATACGCAAGGAATATGGGAAGCTTATTTCTTTGCTGAATGTAAGCGTTTCCTTCTTCCTCGTATGTTCTTTTGCTTCCCCCAGTGTCTTTTGCTATTCTCCTCTCTGGCTCTGCTGATGGTCTGGGATGCATCTAGTTATAAGCCCACTTTCGTATCCAGAAAGCGTTCATCGTTTGTGAACATGTATTGCTATAGCCCCATGCTGATAGTATTTGCTAAATTGTGTGTGATCTATTGATTTAGCTATACAGTAATGATTGCTGTGGCATTTGTTTTACGTGATGCATTCCTATTCATTGAGTTCCTTTTCACCACGAAACTGCTTTCTGTATTACTACTATTGTATCCTCGAGGAGTTGGGATGCATGATTTAGTTTTCATGACAGCATGTGATATACTTATTGAGTGAAAGAGCATCTTACCATCCATCCATATTGTACTGCTGTTCACAATTCTCTTCTTAATATCCAGGCATATGCACTTATTGCTAAGGGCGTTCGATTTGTTTGTAGCAATACAACTGGCAAAAATGCAAAGTCCGTGGTACTGAAAACGCAGGGAAGTGATTCATGGAAGGACAATATTACAACTGTTCTTGGTGTGAAAATATTCTGCTGCTTACAGCCCGTGAATATCGATATGCCAGATGGCTGCAAGGTTGATGGCTTCGTTTCTAAACCTGGACAGGGGAGTGGTCGTAATTTGGGAGATAGGCAGTACATTTTCGTAAATAGCCGTCCAGTTGATATACCTAAGGTCAACAAACTTGTCAATGAGTTATACAAGGCTGCGAACTCCAAGCAATATCCTATTGTGATTATGAATTTCAGTCTGCCAACCAAAGAATGCGATGTCAATGTCACTCCTGATAAAAGAAAAGTATTCCTTTCTGCTGAGACCTCCATCCTGCTCGCTCTCAGGGAGGGTTTGAATCAAATTTATTCCCCTACTAGTGCCTGTTATACTGTCAATAACTTTGGGGATAACACCAAGGTACCAGATAGCATTAAGTTGTCTTGTTCCGAGAGAAAGCCTCCGTTCCTGGAAAATCAAGGGTCTTCTGCAGATCACACAGGCAACATGGAGATTCATGTGGATGGGCATGGGACAGAGGGAAGTAGTCCTCTTGATGGCGTCGAAACTGAACCTGGGCCATACGATATCAGCAAAAGATTGATTGGTAGTGTTGATGAGGAGTTTGCAATGAAGGGATACTCTCTCGGAATGCATCGGCTTAAGAACATTGATTTGTCAAGTAAGAGTACAAAAGACACAAGCCGCCTCAATGTTGAGATGAATCAAAATTCTTCATCAGCCAGTGGAGTTATTGAGAAAGCTTTTCACAATAAAGATTGCAGTGTTCCTCTATCCACTGTCCAATCAACACTAAATAAGTTTGTAACGGTAAATAAGAGAAAGTATGAAGATATTTGTCCAGCAGTATCCGAAGTTCCTCTTCTAAGGGAACAAATTGGTCAGTCTACTACGAAGAAAGGAAATTCTGGTATCTGCGGGAAAGATAAATGCCTCTGTCTTAGTCATTCCCAAAGTGGTTGTTCTGATAAATTGAGCGAGAACGAGACATCCAAGAACCTCACAGCTGTTAAGTTGAGTGATACGTTACTGTTCGGAAGATCTGCAAGTGATGATAAAGGGAGAAAGGCAAGTATGATTTAATTAATTCCCTTCCAAATGAATTATCATGATAGTTAACGTGTGCAAAACATATGCATAATGGCCATTTCTGTAACAATTACGTTCAATATACAATTAACTTTTACTGATTTGTACTTAGGATGCTGGAGTTGAAGGGAACACATTATTTACTGTGGAAGCTTCTGGGGGAGTTTCAAATGCGATGGTTGATACTCCAGTGCTCCCCTCTTCAAACAAGAAATGTTCCACGGTGCGTTTTAGTTTTCAAGATATGAAAGCAAAGAGGAAGCAGATACTTTCAAGATTGAAGTCCCACAGCTGTGCTACCGACAGCTATAAGATTAAAAGGTTTATTAATTGATAGTTCCTTTTGAAGTGGGAAACATGACAAATTCTGCACTCTTATCCATCAACTTGTTTATATGTCTGTTAGTCACCGGAGCTATGCTGCTGCCACGTTGGAGGTTTCTCAGTGTGATGACGAGGAGCGTAAATCTAAAGCTTTGGCGGCTGCAACCACTGAGTTGGACAGACTTTTCAAGAAAGATGATTTTGGCAGAATGAAGGTGGATCTGGTTTCCTATTTTAGCTCGAACTGCACCCTTAGCTAATTTAATACCAACGTCAATCCCAACCTCATTAAGCTTGGGGATGTGCCTATGTATAGGTGTGCCATTATTTGCATATAAATTTAAGGTTTCTAGAACTAAGTCAATCTCGAATATTGAGATGCTATGATGTAGAACCTGCTTTTCAGCAAGGATGCACTTAATGATGACTCTTGTTCATCATAATTGGTGTTAGCTTGTTCTTTTTCCACAGGTGATTGGACAATTTAATCTTGGATTTATCATCGGTAAGTTAGATCAAGACTTGTTCATTGTGGACCAGGTAATTTTCTTCATCACAATCTGCCGTATCCCGTTTCGTGGGATCTGCATCCCCTCAATACATGAAAAATAATAACTGTCCATATTCTTCCGATTGGGTCCTCAATTTCTCAGTATATTCTATGTATATACTTCTGCAGCATGCTGCCGATGAGAAGTACAATTTTGAGCGGCTGTGCCAATCAACCATCCTGAACCAACAACCCTTGCTTCGGTAAGGAGCTATGGTTGTTGCTTGAATTATGATGAATGATGATTTATTTGGTGTGTGGTGTTTACTCTTATGCTGATTCTTGGGATTTCCTCCTGCCCTGAACTGCAATGAATCTTACAACTTGCATGCATAGGGCGTTGAGGTTAGAGCTCACTGCAGAGGAGGAAGAAGTCGCAGCAATGAACATGGGCATAATCAGGTGATTTTTAATTCCTAAGCTTTCTGTAAGCCTGTTTCCTTGTTTACTTTGCTGATAAGTTTTTATCAGGAGAAATGGATTTTCTTTGGAAGAAGACCCAGATGCGCCCCCAGGATTCCGTTTCCAACTGAATGCTGTTCCTTTCAGCAAGAACATAACTTTTGGAGTTGAAGGTAGTCTCTGGGTTTAGTTTTTTTTTTTTTTTTTCCCTTCTTTCATTAACCTTTTGAGTTGCTCTGCTTCATTCTTAAGTTGCCATTATAGAGTAAATTGTAGGTAGATGGCCAAGTCACTTAGGCCAGTAGCTGTAAGTTGCTATGTTGAGACAATGGAATGGACTAGTATAAAGTATGGTGAACCTTTTCAACTGCATGGGGTGAGCAAAACATGTGCCCTGCGAACATATGCTGTCGTGGAATCCCTAGAGGTGTGAATGCTAATTTGGCTTTGTCAACAGATGTGAAAGACTTGATTTCTACTCTAGCTGATAGTGAAGGCTCAGTAATCAGCAGCTACAAAATGGACACCATTGACTCTGTGTGCCCACTCAGAGTAAGGACAATGTTGGCTTCGCGTGCATGCCGATCATCAGTTATGATAGGCGATCCGCTAGGCAGGAACGAGATGAGGAAGGTAATAATAATCAGCCCTTAATTGTCTCATTTCTAGATGGATTGTGTAGAAAAATTCTGAACCCTTGAATTCTGAGAATACGAAATGAAAGACAGTAGTAGGGAGAGAGCTGTAACTAATGCTCAACTCTGTCATTTCAGATAGTGGAGCATTTGGCGGGTCTAAAATCGCCTTGGAACTGTCCTCATGGCCGGCCAACCATGCGCCACCTAGTTGACTTGACATCTATCTACCTTAAATCTCTCAACGCCTTTACTTAAATTTATTCTGTAATAGGGCTGTTACTGTAAAAGCTTCTCTGTCAGTTTCTCTCTACGTGCAAGATACATTGATGGTGACTGTTTTCTTGGTGTTCTGGATTTGTTTCAATCCAATGCTGACTGGTAAAAGAGTTGTATGGAGAAGCAGAGGGCTTAACAATCATTTTGTTAATTTATTAGAAGTAAATAATTATTAGCGAAACCTTCCCCGCCTTTTTTCTATTAGCCAAACATATAGAATTCTGAATTGCTATTTATAGCCCTAGCTTTTTCTTATTTATAGCCCTAAGAGAATGTAATTACTATTTTACCCTTCCTTCCTTTTAAAATATTGAACTTGTTACAACTCCAACCAAACACTCCCTTCCCTACCAATTCACCTCGCCGGATTCCTCCCAGATTCCTCCCAAATATTCTCGCCGGCGACGACGACCACTCGCCGGCGACGACGAGCTCTCGCCGGAGACGTGACTCGCCCCATCTCTCCTGTCGCCGGTTTCCTCTCAAATACGACGACGACCTCTCGCCGGAGACGAAATCAGAGCGCTTCGCGAAGGTAATTTTTAATTTTTGCACGAAGGAGGTGACGACCGGCCGTTTGACCCGCCGCCGGCAAGGGCAACGTCCTGCCCAGACGTCGCCGGCGACGGACGAACGTCCTGGCCGGACGTTTGTCCGTCGCCGGCGACGTCTGGGCAGGACGTCGCCCTCGCCGGCGGCGGGTCAAACGGCCGGTCAACGGCAGTTTGGGTACGTACAGACCATCCCCTCAGATCCGCTTCCTCCAGTTGATGTTTGCCGATCTGCGAATGTCAAGATGTACTCCTTGTCCTACGGTCCCGGCTTGAGCGAGCTTTGGAAGGCCCCTCACTGCCACTCGGTGCAGTTGGATTCGATATCGAGACCTGTTCAAAAACCGGAAGATACCGAGGATGGGTATCTACAGTGGTATATGGGACGTACCCACCCGAGGATCGTCTGCCCCAGTGCTGCTGACCAGGAGATACACCACCATCTTAGTCATGATCAGGTAAGTTTAATTATGTTATTGATATTGTTATTCTGTACAAGTTTAAATATTGCATTAGTTATCGAATAACATACTAACATTTACATTTTTATACAGTTAGCTGTGAAGCTCGTCCGAGAGTTTCGCACTGTGATTGAGCACCCTTATGATGACCACCTTGATCTTCTTCTTGGATTACAAGGGTTGCTTAAAGAGTACGACGAGGCGACTCCATACCAGCCTCCACCTCAGTACTAGTGTTGTTCATGTAGTTTGAGTACTATGTAGTTTATTTCTATTTGGAGAACTATGTCGTTAATTTGGTGTTTGAGAACTATGTCGTTAATTTGGTGTTTGAGAACTATGTCGTTTATTTGTAGTTTGAGAACTAAATCGTTTATTTGTTGTTGGAGGACTATGTCGTTTATTTGTAGTTTGAGAACTATGTTGCTTATTTGTTGTTTGAGTACTAGTGTCGTTCATTTGATACTTTATTTGTATGTTTAGAACTATGGTAGTTTTAATTTAAAACTATGTTTACCAAAGACTACAAATATAAAGATAACATGAGTTACAAAATACTCCTTATTTACAACTATTGTCGTTATATACCAATACTACTACAAATATCTCCTACTAGTCATGATGACCCCCAAGTGCGAAGTAAAGATCTCGCTCGTCCTTGAACAACTCCTCCCACCCTTGAGTACTCACTTTGTCACGGAAATGGGTCCACAGGAAGGTGAATGGAGGCATTGGTATTGAATCCTCCTCAAAGTCAAGGCGCACCCAATGGTTGCCGGTGTTACACAACACCAACACATTGCTAGGGCGAGCTACCCCTGGCTTGGCTATCATAGGTAAAAAGGTTTGTCCAAATGGAACACGTCTCCTCACCCCATCTTTGGTTTCGTCTATTTGACTGTAGAGGATTATGGCCCAGTTAAATAATGTTGCAACTACGGCGAGATCCGACTCAGTCATCCAATGATCCATTGTAGTACCCTCTGGCTTGTTCCACTGTAATCGTGTAAGAGCAAGACCCACATCTTCATATGCGTACTCACATTGTTGGATCGACATGACTTCATCTATAATAGCCTTTCTCACCCACAAGTGGTGATCCTCATCTCCATGAAGTGCATGTGAAAGAGCTCGAAATCCGCAATGTCCATCAGGAGCAGGGTCCCACCAACCAAGACATCGATCTCTGACACTTTCTGGGATGAAGCGAAAGTAAGGAAAAACATTCACTCCATCAATCTTGGTCATGGGATCCCTTTTCGGGCCACCTGTGGATGTAGTTTTTTTTAGTTATCTTATTGGCATATTAAACATACTTATTGAATATCAATGAATTTAACAAAACAACTCAAATTATTCAAAACAAACCTGTAACATCTGAGGTTGTTGCTTTTCTCTTTTTGTGGATGGTAGCATCCTTCGGGGCACCTGTTAGTGAAAATTTTGTTGTAATTAGCTTATTGGCATATTAAACATATTTATTGAATATCAATGAATTTAACAAAACAACTCAAATTATTCAATACAAACATGTATCATCTGAGGTTGTTGCTTTTCTCTTTTTGTGGATGGTAGCATCCTTCGGGCCACCTGTTAGTGAAAATTTTGTTGTAATTAGCTTATTGGCATATTAAACATACTTATTGAATATCAATGAATTTAACAAAACAACTCAAATTATTCAATACAAACCTGTAACACCTGAGGTTGATGTCTTACTCCTTGTGCTCCTTCTACCTTGACGTGCGGCAGCGTGCTCATGCCAAGAAGGATCACGAGCGTTTTCCCTTTTAGGTGGCCGACCTTTTGCCTTCGTAGACACTCGTGGCTCCCTAAGGCCTTCCTCTTCGGGGTAAAGCTGACTCATTAATGCGACCTTGGCTGCTCGAACTGCAGTTGGACCACGTCTACACACCTCAGCCACTAGATCATGAAAAATCTGAAGATCATTGGCGTCATTGTCTTCGAACCGTCTTGCATCATGAGGGTTAGCATAGTCCAAAGTAGACCAGAATGGTGCCAAGTGTGTTATCCGAAAATGGTCTCCCGCTCCTTTAAAGGAGTTGATTCGACAACTGCATGGGAGCCCATGTGTCCTCCCAATCACACAATCACATTCCGAAGGAGTCTTCTTTCCCTATACAAACATCAACTCAAGCGCATATAGGCTTACACTTCCCCTTATAACGCCGTAGGGTGGTCCATAGGCTCCTTTGAATGTCTTTGTTCGACATGTCTCTAGCTCTTTCCTAATTTCGATCACTTGCCCCCCAATGCTAGCATGCCATGATAAAAATAATGTATCAACTCCCCCAGTCGAAGTGTTTAACCAAGCTTTAAGAGTCGAGTGAGCCGATTCAACCCTATTCGTACTTGTGTTACCAATATGAAAAATATTGTTAGTGTAAGCACAAGCCCACTTCTCTTTATGCTCCAAGCACTCACGATCCAAGTATTCTATCAACTTACTATTCCTCCCCCAAAATCCATTTTTTAAATTTTCCCATTCCTCAATCATGGCATGTGGCGTGGTGGCTTCCATCACCTTCTTCCAAGAACCATGTACCACTCCTCGAGCAACTTCTTGTGGTATCCCCAAATCCATCATCTTAGCTTCAATGTTCCGCTTTATGTGCCATATACACAACAAGTGGGCCGATTTCGTGAAGACCTGAGGGATAGAGGCAACCAATCCTCCCTCCTTGTCAGTTAGAATTGCATTCGGTATGCGATCTCCAAGCATGTTCTGTAACTCTCTCAAAAGCCAAACATAAGAATCTGTGGTTTCCCCCTCCATCATAGCAAATCCAATGTTGAAGTTCCTCTTGACGGGGGTAACACCAATAACCTCAACCAGGGGCCTCTTATATTTGTTCGTCTTGTATGTGGAATCAATCAAGATTACATGGTACCAAGCACTCAACATCCGAACGGACTCAGGGTGAGCAAGAAAAAGGTGAGTAAGGTGGCGATCATCATCACGCTTGTAGCCAATGTAGTACCCCATCTCTCTCGCATGGTGTAACGTCCAATCCGAAGGGGTCATGCCACTCAATCTCTCAATCCTTATATTTGCTGTCATGTTGTAAAATTGTCGTTTGTTATGGTGAGTACCATAGTTTTGGTTGATAGTTTGCATCATTTTTCGAGGAGCAACACGAGCCCATTCCATCTCCTTCATATCCTTTAGCTCTTCATTAGTAAAAGCATTCCTCTGAGTGTGGCCTTCGGGATAAAGCTCTAATGCATGGTTGTGAAACCCACAAAATTGTCCCGGATTGTGATTGTCCTTCACACCATCAATCATCCAAGTCTTTTCCTCCGGGAGTCCCACCAGTCTCACTCGAAAACGACAACCATCTTTAAGTGACTTTGTGTTGGATCGTCCTTTCTTATCCGGATCTGGGACATATGTATTGTTCTTATATCCACGATGGCAGTGAAGATATATTCGGGGGTACTTCTCGCCATCATTTGATTTGGTTGATGAATGTGTCAAAAAGAACCCAAGATCTTTTGCAATCACTTTTGCAATTAGAAGTAGACACGTACTAATTAAATTATCAACAAGATAGTAAAATCAATAATTCAACATTTTTCAAACAATATGTATCATTGTAAAGCAAATATTTAAGCATATTATCAATTACTAGACTTCATCATAACAATAAATAATTCAACATGATTCCAAAATTAAAAAGTTTAACTCACTAACCGTGTTACTCATTATCTGATGTAGTGATATCCGGAGGTCCGAACTTGACCAACTTCAAGAAATACATACAAAAAAAATAGTTTCAGTAATACTAACATAGTTTCAAAATATAAAAAAATGAAATTCAAGAAATTCATTCTAAAAATAATATTATAGCAAATCCATCCTAAAAAATATGATAATTACAATATCATAAAATAATAAACTACAATAAAATCGCTAAATATTCTTCAAAGTCTAAATTATTGTTAGTAAACATTAACTTAGTTTCAAAATAATAAAAAATGAAGTTAAAGAACTTCATTCTACAAATAATATTATAAAAAATCCTACTAAAAATATGGTAATTACAATATTCATAAAATAATAAATTACAATAATAAAAACACTACATATTCTTAAAATATGGCAATTAAAAGTCTAAATTCAGGAAACATTAACTTAGTTTCGAAATATGAAAAATAAAAATTCAATAACTTCATTTTAAAAATAATATTAGAACAAATTTTTCTAAACAAT